CAACCAAACACTCTTTAAGTGTGTCCCACAGACTATTAGTCAAATCTCCTTCCCAAAGAGCTAAGCAAACATGGCCTGCGGACCTATTTGATTGGACGAATTATAGCATATGATTGAACTTATTAGTCCTAGACTCACATTTTAATGTTTGGTTAAATTTTTTGTTATTCAGATTAGATTTTAATAAACATTCTATCAAATAAAAATGACAATTTTTTTCATCTTTCAACTAATAATGCAAAACAAACACAAGTGGGGATTAATTATCTCATTAATCTAGTAAAATAATTAATTTTACACCAATTTCATAAACTATTTCATAAACTATTGATCTTATCACTGTTAATCTTGATAATTAAACAGGTGTAAATTTTATTTGTAAATAAAAAGTCACCATCTTGTAGTTTGCATTATTATGTGGTCTAAGCCAACCCCAACATTGGAAGGTGACAATCACCACTATTTATTATTTATCTTCATAAACTTATTGCCCACGTACTTGGTTGTGCGATAATACAAACCAACCACCATCATCAACTATGCATGACCACTTCAAACCAAATGAGATTCAGAGGTAGCCAAAGATCGATAAGTTGAACCGGGTTGCCACCCACCCGGGATCACAGCGTCCGCAACCATGGTCCGACTAGAGTTACTGGACCTCAATCGAATCGAAATTGGAGCTTGTAATGCCGACCCGGAAACGAACTGCCAAACACCACCCAATAATTTTTGCATAGGCTTCCATTCTGATGATTCATCTGATCCCCTTGATGCCTCCTTTAGATCAATTCTTACAATGTCACTTTTTGGGGATTGAATTGCCAACCCGAGTTTGTTATGGATTGACCCAGGAAGAACCCGTAAAGCTATGGTGGTCCCTGAATAATCACATGGCACACTAGAAAGACACAAAACAAACACTTCTTGTTATTAATTCTAATTGCTGCATCAAGTATATTTTTAAAATCTTGCACAAATTACCATACCAGTTAGTTAACCAAAAAAATTAAATTACAATACTAGTTCTTTTAATTTACCTTTTATGTCAATTTGACTTGCAAAAATGATACAAATTCAGAAAAAATATCTATAAACTTATCCAGAAAGTGAGTATATAGTGGATATTGAATTTAATGTGTCTCGTCGTTGTTCGCCATGGACGGCGATCAGACGAGCCTGGAAGACAAGGTTTTGTCTGAAAACTTCCCACAGACGGCGCCAATTGTACGGGGAGCAAATATTCCGGCGAGCCCGTACTCCTTTCTTCCGAGCTCCGTCGATATCCGATCACCTGCGAGCAAATAACGGTGAGCTACCCGGCGGTGTGTGGCCGGAAAAACCCTCCGACGGTCAAGTTAGCACACACCTTAGAGGGAATAGAGAGAAAGGAGAGAGTGTTTGAGTGTAAGGATTTCTTACAGAGATGTTTCGTGTATCCCGTATGGGGGGCACAGACATGCTTATATACCTACTGACCTCTATATCCACTCCCTGTCATCTCCTGACACGTGGCTCTGCTATCCCATCTGTCAGCACAAACCATGCCATTCATCACCTAATCTCAACTGCCTGTCATCACAGCTGGAGCTCGGCAGCCGAGCTGCCCTACCTCGGTCATACCATGCTTCATACTTCAAGCGCCTAACCGGACAAACTCGTGGAGGACCGGGCTAGGCATCTCGACAAAGCCTAGCCCGGGCTCCTCCTTTGGTTGGCCTTCCTGCCGGTCAATCAACTACCTCGGCTGACCGCGCCTTTCCGGGCGCCGGTCTCTCAACCTGTCTGGCTTCGACCATCCTCGGACCGAGCATCCTGGTCTGACCGGTCAGTTCCTGGTCGAGCGATTTCCGTACGGTCCGGGGTGGCACACACTCAGTTCAACCCTGCCCGGCCCAAGTTCTGGCAGCCCATTTCCGGGCGGAGAGTTGATCAGCTCGGCCCCATACACCGTTGGGCCCTCAACCTGCTCGGCCGTCACCTCGGCCCAACTCCAGATCATAAATTACCCTCTCAATATATATATATTCATCCTATTAGAAATTATTTATCTGATATTTAATTTTTTTTATGTATATATAATTTATATATCATATATATATATATGTGTGTGTGTGTGTGTGTGTTTTATGTATAAAGTGAAAAAAAATTATTTTTTTTTTGGCCTCTCCGATAATGAAATCTTAGTTCCGTCCCTGATTGGGGACAACACCAAGTGGCGACGAGCCTGATGGTGGAAATGAGGAAGGAGGTGATTCGAGTAAAGTGATGAAAAAGGAGTATGATGAGTGACGTATTTAAAAGAGGTCGAAATAAGACTGCTGATTGATTATGAGCTCGTTTGGAATGTGAATTGACTTTTTGATCTTTTAATTATTTTAATTTGGGGCTAAAAAGTCTAGTTTGTAATAGGTTTTTTCGTTTTTTTGATTTTTATGATAAAAAAATGAAATGATTATGAATTGAATGCGACATTTTATCATATTTTACTAAAATAGCCTATTATGTTAAAATAATTTATTTTATCTTATATTACTATTTTAGCCTAAATATTTTTTCCAAACAAGCTCTATGTTGCCAATGCTGATGGTTGATGTGCTGGTTATAAAATTATAATGAATATTATTTAAAAACAATAAGAAATAACAACTTAAACTTAATAGATGGCTAAGATTAATAGATGGCTTTCCGTTAGTCAAATTAATAGATGGCTAAGATTAAACTAAAAATAAAAAATTTAAACTGAAATTAAAAAAATTTGAAGCATTGGGTTTAATTTGACTCCAGACTTAAACTTGTATTTTTCTATAATTTTTTCAAAATTTTAAAAATTTTAGAATGATGTAATGAGAAGGTGAGTAAGCATTGTGTTTTTTTTGCTATCAAAAGCCCGGAAATTCATCAATAAGAGCAATCAATTCAATCCAGGCACAGAGAGAGAGAGAGAGAGGGAGAGAGAGAGAAATGGACGATCAGGATCTGGAGGTGGAGAAGGCTCGATTGATCAGCTTAGCCCTCGAGTTTGGATTCGACGAAGAATCTGCCATTAAGTGCTTAGATCGTTTTGTTAATCTTTACGGTATATTCTTTCAATCTTTACGAACCAAATCATCAAACCCTAGAACAGCAATTTGTATAATTATGTTTATGAATGCACATTTTTGTCAAATTATTTGTTTCAAATTCTGAGGTATTCTAGTTCGTTATTGCTTGGGATTAGTTCAATTTGATTTCGTTTTGAGCAGTTTTTAAGTTGCATATGCTATCAAGTTACAAGTACAACTGTAGTTTCAAATTACTCTGGTTAACAATTCTCTTTTGCTTGTTAATTGTTTGGTTGCTGAGAAAATCTAGGGAAAGGAAACGTAATTAGTTGATACACACATTTTGTACTAGAAGGGTACCACGCTCTATGGCCGTACCATACCTTACGGGATTTTGTTTTAGCCTAATGACAGTTTCATGAAAAATTTCAAAATGTTAGTTAAATTTTCAAGAATTGTGCCGAGTGGCATTTTGGTTTTCTTTTCATAGGCTACATATACTCACAAAACTTCATGTCAAACAGAGTCAGAGTTATGTGTAGGATTTATATAATAGCAAGCAAGGTTCTGAAAAGCGGTTGCGGTCGCCGTAACGGTGGCGGTGCTTCATGTCAAACAGAGTCAGAGTTATGTGTAGGATTTATGTAATAGAATAATGAGGTTTTGTTTTGGTTTTCATAAGCTCACAAACTCACTGCAATGGAGCCTTTAATTGAATCAGTTGGTTCAAGGGCTGTGGTTTTTGTATTTTGTAGTCACAATATAATGGGGAATCAAATAGCCATTAATTAGAACCTTTTTTATTTTTTATATTTTATTTTATATAAATTTCCTTTAAAGGGAGTCCATATTTGCCAGAAAAATGTCAGCCCCTAGAGATTGCATCTTCACTTGAGCAACCATAAGAAGCGACTCCAGGAGCATAACACACATGACACAAACATTAGAAGTGTCGGAGCAGAGGGGACATTGTCTCATCAACCAACATGGAAATCACCTGAAGTGTAGTCATTCACATTGGGTCAGAATCTTGTCTGAGAATAACGGTGCATTAACTTCTTCAAAATTGCTTTTTTTGTTTAATTCTCTGTTCTAAGAGACCAAAATGAAAGGCACGAGGTTTTCCGTGAGGAATATACCACGACCTAATAGAAGCTGGTGATTTCATGATAGCTCATGTATATTTTTTTACTCTACGGAGTTGCAAGGACACTTGTAAAAACAAGAGAATCATTGTTGATTAGCTAGTATATGTGAAGGCACCATCACGACATACTATTTGTCTAGTTATTGATGTTTTCATTTCAGTAAGCAACATATAAAAACATGTATTGTTAATAGTTGAACAAAACTGTCATACATAGTGTGATTGGGGTTCCTCGTTCAAAGCATACATTCCATGAAGTGGCTAGTGTGCTCCCTCTCCTTGCTCAAACCTTGCTTTAAGTCGCACTAGCGACTCCTGAAAGCAACCCACACTGGCTTCTGCTTGGCCTAGCCTATTATGCGTGTCTAGTGGGGTGGTGCATGTATCCAGGTTTACCCAATCAGACGTAGTATAGTTGGGGTTCAAAAAAACATAATGTTAAATGTGTGCAAGACAGAAGTACATGGAACTAGATTGAAACCCCTCAGCTAAAAAGCTAAAAAAAAAATAAATAAATAAAAATTGTCCCTCATTAAAAAATATGAACCAGTGACCAAGAAGAGACCTAGCCTGTCATATTTTTATCAAAATTAAGTAGAATGTCTAATAAATGTGGTTGAATTTAAAAATTCTCATGTGCACAATGACATTATTGTATTGAAAGAAAGCACATGTCTAGTGTCTGGACACATTTTAGAATTAGAATATGATGAACTTAATGATAAATGTATCTCCAGTTGCATGCCAATAAAAATGAAATGAGAAGAGATAGTTGGAACTGAACTGCCTCAAACATTACTTGCTTATGGCAACTTGAAAGCCAAAGTCAAGTATGCAATGAGCAGGACCAAAATTTTGCATGTGGTGCCACTGTATTGTGTAAGCAATAAGCATAACACCCATACACGAATTGAGATATTGCATGTAGCAGTATGATAGTTTTTCTTCAGTAGTGCTCAAACAACACTTGGGACACCTGTGATGAAAAAATTCTGTAAGTAACAAGAGAAATTCATCACAAAATAACTACAATCAAAACAATTAGCATAACTAGCGTCACATCTATCTAGTGATTATTTCTTTTGTTGTAATCTACTCATTTTTATTTTAGTATGTTTTAATTTTAAGAATGCACATGGTTTTATTATTATTTTCTCAACCTAGTTCAAGTAGTGGCAGCCATGCTAGTGACCTAAGTAGCATAGACAAGGACATGCAGACATAATGATTTTTAAAAAATATGCAAGACTTGATATGCCTGAGACATTTTAAAAAAATTGGATAGTTTATTCAAAATGAAAAAAAAAAGCAACATGATACGAATTAAAATGAAAAAGCCATATATTTGATACATTAAATATCAATATAACATTCACGTAACAATTGCATTCTAAAGAATGTGAAACAATTATAAAAATTGAAATATATATGATGTATTCATCTTATAAATGTTTCAAAACATATTTTCAGTGCACAAATTGTATTTTGAAGAATGCAGAACGTGTCATTATGAAGAGATTCATCACATATCATGTTCAGAATGTTCAAGAAGTGTTACCGAAGTGTTTCGATATTATGAATATAAAATTTTAATTAAGATATGTTGAAAAAGTGTCTTACACGATTTTAGGAGTGCCCCATAGTGTCAGTGTCCGGCACGACATGCTTCCACCATAGAAGTGTTCATGCTTCTTAGCTAATGACACAACACAAGCAACAAGTAATTGTACTGAATTTACCTACTTTTGCCGTACCATCTGCAAGTATGATGTAGTTTCTTTAATAAGCTTGACTTTACTTGGAAAGTAACCTAGCTCAATAGTGTGTGCTAGGTGGCTTTTAGTTTGGAAACCATGCTAACAATATAGGCAAGAAATTAACAATGCCCCCATATCGGCGACATATTAGGAAGTGGTTTCTCTTATAAGCTTCGTCCAGTCACTCGGAATTGCCAAGCTCAGTAGTGTGGGCTTGTAACCTAAACAAGTGGTCAGATAAGTCATTGCCATAGGATCTTAACAACCACAATATGTAGCCATTGTTTTGTAAAAGAAACAATAAAAAATATAAATTAGAAAATTGAAAAGTAAAGAAAATAATGTGTCCTAAATGTGGCAAATTAATAACATGTTCTTCATCTTCCCTCTTCTCTCTCTCTATCTCTTGCTCCTCCATTTTCTCTCTTTATCTTCTCTCTTCTCTCTATCCCTCTTCCCTCATTTTTAGCTTTTTTTTTTGTGTGTTTTTTCGGAAGAAACAGTTTGGAACCGTTACGTAACGGTGCTGTAACAGCCGTAACGGCCTGTTACGACCGCTACGGCAGCCGCTGCGGCCGACACACCTGTGAATCTCAATCACACTGCAAAAGCGGCCGTAACGGGTGGCGGTAACCGCCAAAACCGTTACGTAACGGCGTTACGTAACGGTTGCGGCCGCTTTTTAAAACCTTGGTTCTAAGAGACCAAAATGAAAGGCACGAGGTTTTCCATGAGGAATCTACCACGACCTAATAGAAGCTGGTGATTTCATGATAGCTCATGTATATTTTTTTACTCTACGGAGTTGCAAGGACACTTGTAAAAACAAGAGAATCATTGTTGATTAGCTAGTATATGCGAAGGCACCATCACGACATACTATTTGTCTAGTTATTGATGTTTTCATTTTAGTAAGCAACATATAAAAACATGTATTGTTAATAGTTGAACAAAACTATCATACATAGTATGATTGGGGTTCCTCGTTCAAAGCATACATTCCATGAAGTGGCTAGTGTGTTCCCTCTCCTTGCTCAAACCTTGCTTTAAGTCGCACTAGCGACTCCTGAAAGCAACCCACACTGGCTTCTGCTTGGCCTAGCCTATTATGCGTGTCTAGTGGGGTGGTGCATGTATCCAGGTTTACCCAATCAGACGTAGTATAGTTGGGGTTCAAAAAAACATAATGTTAAATGTGTGCAAGACAGAAGTACATGGAACTAGATTGAAACCCCTCAGCTAAAAAGCTAAAAAAAAAATAAATAAATAAAAATTGTCCCTCATTAAAAAATATGAACCAGTGACCAAGAAGAGACCTAGCCTGTCATATTTTTATCAAAATTAAGTAGAATGTCTAATAAATGTGGTTGAATTTAAAAATTCTCATGTGCACAATGACATTATTGTATTGAAAGAAAGCACATGTCTAGTGTCTGGACACATTTTAGAATTAGAATATGATGAACTTAATGATAAATGTATCTCCAGTTGCATGCCAATAAAAATGAAATGAGAAGAGATAGTTGGAACTGAACTGCCTCAAACATTACTTGCTTATGGCAACTTGAAAGCCAAAGTCAAGTATGCAATGAGCAGGACCAAAATTATGCATGTGGTGCCACTGTATTGTGTAAGCAATAAGCATAACAACATCCATACACGAATTGAGATATTGCATGTAGCAGTATGATAGTTTTTCTTCAGTAGTGCTCAAACAACACCTGGGACACCTGTGATGAAAAAATTCTGTAAGTAACAAGAGAAATTCATCACAAAATAACTACAATCAAAACAATTAGCATAACTAGCCTCACATCTATCTAGTGATTATTTCTTTTGTTGTAATCTACTCATTTTTATTTTAGTATGTTTTAATTTTAAGAATGCACATGGTTTTATTATTATTTTCTCAACCTAGTTCAAGTAGTGGAAGCCATGCCAGTGACCTAAGTAGCATAGACAAGGACATGCAGACATAATGATTTTTAAAAAATATGCAGGACTTGATATGCCTGAGACATTTAAAAAAAATTGGATAGTTTATTCAAAATGAAAAAAAAAGCAACATGATACGAATTAAAATGAAAAAGCCATATATTTGATACATTAAATATCAATATAACATTCACGTAACAATTGCATTCTAAAGAATGTGAAACAATTATAAAAATTGAAATATACATGATGTGTTCATCTTATAAATGTTTCAAAACATATTTTCAGTGCACAAATTGTATTTTGAAGAATGCAGAACGTGTTATTATGGAGAGATTCATCACATATCATGTTCAGAATGTTCAAGAAGTGTCGCCTAAGTGTTTCGATATTATGAATATAAAATTTTAATTAAGATATGTTGAAAAAGTGTCTTACACGATTTTAGGAGTGCCCCATTGTGTCAGTGTCCGGCACGACATGCTTCCACCATAGAAGTGTTCATGCTTCTTGGCTAATGACACAACACAAGCAACAAGTAATTGTACTGAATTTACCTACTTTTTGCCGTACCATCTGCAAGTATGATGTAGTTTCTTTAATAAGCTTGACTTTACTTGGAAAGTAACCTAGCTCAATAGTGTGTGCTAGGTTAAGTTTAGTTTATGATGGTAATTGATGCAGAACAAATGAAAATATAAGAGGCAACAATCCAGTTACTTATTTTTTAATTTATTTTATTATTTTATAACATTTCCATTGAAAGTATTTTACCCTTTTTAAAACAAAGATGCAAGGTTTTAGTTTTACCCTTTAATTTGACTCCAGTTTTCGCAAACTTGTTGAGGATATAGGCGACTCATAAATTGTACTTAATTTTCCTACAACAGCAGCATATTGTAATATAATTCTCTTAAAGCTCGATTCAGCTCATTTGAAAATTGTCAAGCTCAATAACTTGCCTTTGTGACCTAAATGGGTTTAAGTTTTTGCAACCATGCTATCAATATTGGCAACAAATAAACCCATACCCATTTTTATTTATTTGTTTGTTTTTATTGTTTCCTACATCAACAATATAGGGTTGTAACCTAAATGGGTTTTGGTTTCCGCAACCTTGTTATCAATCTCGGCAACAAGTAAAACATACCAAAACTTTTTGTTGTTTCCCGTATCTACAACATATCAGGGTATTATTTTTTTAATAAGCTTTTCTCACTTGAAAATTGTTGTGCTTAATAGCATGTGCTTCTAATCTGCGCAGGGGCATTGATAAGTCGTATGTCACAATTAGCCATATGTCGACAACCACAGTCACATCTAAAAAGGAAAAAGGAAAAAGAAAAAAGGAGATTAAAAATCAACGAAAAAAATGAAAAAAAAGAACGAAAAATAAAAAACTGTGACTGAAAAGGTTTACAATTTTAAATATCATTGAAAAGGATAAATAACAAGAAGTTAGGTAGGAAAAAATATAATGACTTGACTCTAGAGCAATACCTGAAAGAGGAAAAATAACTTAAGCAATACCTTAAAAACCTACTTACTATTTCTTCTGGTGATTAACTAATGGTGACAATTGATGCAAAACAAATAATTTTTTTAAGAGAGAACACTTTAGTGGCTTCTTTTTCGAAATTTTTATTATTTTTATTTTTTTCATTTTGTTGTTTTTTACTCATCTCTATCCAAGTAATGGTGACAATGGTGAGTTGGTGACAACTGACAAATGATACAAAAGAAATACAAATTTTGAGAGATAACACTTGAGCTACTTTTTTTTCAATTTTATTTTTTTCTTTTGTTGCTTTCCACTCATCTCTATCCTAGTATCTTACCTTTTTCTTGTTTTAAGAAATAAAGATGGTTTTATTGTAAATTTCCTTGACCCAGTTTATGCATTAGCAACTTTGCTAACGATATAGGCAACAATGAATTGTATCGGATTTTCCTATTTCAGTCCATAACATTAACGTGTAGTCATATATAGCTCATATTATGAATCTCATTATTTTTTTTTAGAAATTTTATTTGATAAAACAAAAACTGGCTGCAATAGAACCTAATAGGGAGCTAGAAGGCAGTTTTTTTTTTTTTTGGCATTCCCAAATATAAAAAGAAATTAGAGATTCACTTAACTTAAATTTGGATTGTTTTCTGTGGTTTCTCTGCAACTAAGCTTAAGGTTGGATTATTACTAAAACCAAATAACTTTTGCAACTGGAGTTGGCAAATGTGAGCTGTCGACGAGTTATTTCCAAGATTTTATGGTTATGACATGTAAAACCAAGCTATATACTGAATGAGAAGCTATGTTTCAATCATGACTGTTTCAACAAGTTAGGAGGTCCAATTTTTATAGCAACATTGTTTTCTACATGGACAAACTGAATAAATACTCTCAGCCTTATGAAAGGGATCAGAATAAAACCTGTTACATCTATCAAAATAAAAAAATTCAGAAAAGGAAATCGAAATTTAGGAAAGCTTCTGTTTAAACTGCGCTAGGTGATAAAGGTGGAATCTTGGCTTTCCGTAAACATGAAGAGTTTATTGTCATCTAGTTCTAACAATAATTGTTGTCGTCATTTTTTTTTGTGAAGGCGATGACGGTCAGGATTTTATCAGTGTGGAGCTCTGTGGTGATGATTTTCTTGCAGCACTGGCTGAATCTATGCAAGACAGTGAGGATTGGGATGATTTACAAGCCATGGAATCAGAGGCTTGCGGAACTTTGGCTGCCATATTTAATAAGGATATTCTGAACAATTATGAAGAAGAAAACAATGACAAAGCAAGAAGCTATCTCCATGTCATAGAAGATTCTTCAGATGGTGAAGACTTAGATTTCATAATTCCAAGCAAAAAGGATGTTGGATCTACCCCTTCCTCGTGTACTAGTAGAAGTGTTCATGACCTAACTCAAAGTTCACATAGGCATCCATCAAAATCTGTGGTAGGAATTCTTGTTATGAACATTTCCAACTTCTTTCTCCTTTTTCTTGTGGACTGTGAAGGCAGTGTTTTTTTTTAATTATGCATCTGGTATTCTACTGCAGCTAAATAACATGTTAAAATTAAAAGAATTAAAAAAAAAGTTTTTGAGGACAAATGAAGTCATATACACATATTTACACGGTACATCTAACTTTTCAGTATATAAGCAATAAGCTTAGAGATTTTCTGCTTGTTCCTTTTTTGATCCTACATTATTCCATGTGCTGAAACTTTTGTTTTTGGTGAAGGGTTGTAAGAGAGGCATCACTCAAGATTCAATTTGCAATAAAATAACAGGCTCCAGGATATCAAAAGATAAACTGGGAACTCTCAGTTATGAAGAATTACAGACTTTGGATGACATTGAATTGGCAAATGTTGTAATATTTGGTAATCGGACTTTTCGGCCCTTGCAGCATCAGGCTTGTAAAACATCTCTGGCAAAGCAGGATTGCTTTATTCTTATGCCCACTGGAGGTGGTAAAAGTCTATGTTATCAGGTAAGGTTTTGTTCCTTGTATAGTTGATCAGTAGTGTCACCAAAAAACACTTGCACCTTACTGATTTATGTTTTGGAATGCACGTTCCGAAACACGGTAAACTTTTGATTTAACACAATGAATCTAGCAATTCAAAGTGGTTCCAAAAATATTTTTCAATATAAACCTTCAAAGTTATCTTAGGAGGAAAAACAAATCAAATAGGGCAAATTTCACTTTACCCTCTTGTGGTTTGGCCCATATGCGGATCACCTCCCTATCTTTAGAAAATAACCACATCTTAGGTGCAAAAGCAGGGGTGGTGGAACGATGGCATATAGAAGCTTCTAAGGTTGGGAGCGCCTATGGTAATATGTATACATTTATATATAAAATATATAAATATATTCTAATATTTATTTTTTTCCTGCTTAGTTGTAATATATTTGTTAAAATATGAATTATTATTGGAGATTGACGTCGACTATAAATTATCTTTGTTAGTATAGATAAATATTATGTAAATAGAAAGTATTAGAATAAGCTTGGGTTATTTTTCTTTTGTTTCTTTGAAATTTTTATGTTTGACAGATTCTATTGTAACATGATCAATTTAAAAAAGAAAAGAAATATTTTATTGGATGTCTGAAAAGAAGACTTCTTTAGAAGTATCTTAAATTCTAATAGTTTAGTCTAGATAAGTCTATCTTGTACCACATTTGAGAGAATGCGGTGTTCCTGATCCCAGTCCATGTACTGAAATATTCACGTTCTAGGTAACATAGAGCTGATGTTTTCCAGGCTATGTTATGTGGATGAGCTGCCACAATATCTAGAGATCACTGTTGACTTTGTGTAATTTTTTAAATTGGTGTTTTTTTAAGCCCGTTACATGAGGCTGAATAACTTGGACCTCAATGGGTCACAGTGAAAGCTTGGTGTTTTGTGAGTGCTTGATTATTCTAAAGCTGTCTTTTAGTTTTTCACTATTTGCTCAATCAAATTTAATAATTTGACAACCTTCATATGGTAATTCATATTGTACAGCTTACAGCTACTATGCAACCAGGTGTTACAGTTGTTGTATCGCCCCTACTTTCCCTCATCCAGGATCAGATAATTACACTAAACCTCAAGTTTGGAATACCAGCAACCTTCTTGAATTCTCAACAAACTGCTTCTCAAGCAGCTGCTGTCCTTCAAGAGTTAAGGCAAGGTTCAATTCTTTTCTATACTTGAGTCTATTAGGATAATCCTTTTTGTTGTTTAACTCCTCTACCGGAAACTACAAACAAGAAATTATTTCTGGAGAGTTCTTGCAATCTTTCATTTTCTAGAGATTTGTTTGTGGGATCATTTTGTCTTGTACACTTAAAATTGTTCAAGAGAAAGTTATTTTTTCACATTGTTTGTTGTTAGGAAAGAATTTACATTTATGTTTTGTTTTATGTTTTTAGGAAAGATAAACCTTCATGCAAGCTATTGTATGTTACTCCTGAAAGGATTGCTGGAAATGCATCATTTCTGGAGATCCTAAAATGTCTGCATCGAAAGGTGAGCCTTTTAAGTTTAAGCTCAATATATCAAATCCTTGCAGGTTTTTGTTGTAGATTATGCTGATTAAGAGAAGACTTGGTACATAAATCACAGGGACAACTAGCCGGTTTTGTTGTTGATGAAGCACACTGCGTGAGGTATGCCCTTTCTCCAATATATTTCTGTAGATTTGTTATACTTGATGTGAAGATGAAATATTGATTGGACAGCACGGTTCCCTTTCTCAAGAAACACTATTCTCATGCTTTATTTTTATTTTTATGACCCAATACAATATTCTTTGTCTCATCAATATGTGAATATTCCAACGTTTGGCCACAACATAGTGCAAGGCTGAGCTTTTCATTGAATCTCATGTTATGCCCCGTCTAAAAGGTGGAACAATTGGTTGATTGGTTTGACCATAGTAGCTACCTCGGGATATGGGGAGGGAGTCTAAATCCAATTAATGAGAGAAGGACAGAATAAAAGGTGGGAACCCACAGCCACTGGTGACAGCAAGCAGTAGGATTTAAGGATACATTTGGGAAAAACACTACAATGAAGTTGATGGTGCAAGGCCAAGTGATGATGGTGGTTTATTTTGAGAATAATTTTGCAGTTGTTTTTCATTATTCACCTTATTTTTTTTGTAATTTTTTGTTGCACTAGTCAATTACATTTTTGTGAGCAGAGAGAAAACATTTATAATATTGAAGTCACTAATCGATTTGGAAACTATGGTCATCATGGTCGTAACTGGTAATTAATGAGAGTTCATCCATGCGCGATCCATATGATTCTTTAAAATCTTTAACTATTCTTAACAAGTGGCTTCCACTATTTTAATCATTTCTATGCTTTCCAGCCAATGGGGACATGATTTTCGTCCAGATTACAGGGGTTTAGGATGTCTTAAGCAGAATTTTCCAGATGTTCCAGTGATGGCTTTAACTGCCACTGCAACACAGTCAGTTCGTCAGGTAAGATGATTGCAACAGTTTATCTCCCTTCCAGAATTTGATGACAGGTTGCGTTTCCTTGACCATTATGGATCCTCTGCAGGACATCTTAAATGCTTTAAGAATCCCACGTGCTCTTGTCCTTGAGACAAGCTTTGATAGACCAAACTTAAAGTATGAAGTGATTGACAAGACCAATGAATCATTGAAGCAGCTTGGAAAGCTTCTGATGGATCGTTTTAAGAATTTGAGTGGAATTGTGTATTGCCTTTCAAAAAATGAATGTGTGGAGGTCTCAAATTTTTTGAACTCAAAATGTAAGATAAAAACAGTGTATTACCATGCTGGTTTAGCAGCTAAGCAGAGGGTTGCTGTTCAGAAGAAATGGCATACGGGAGAGGTCCACGTTGTGTGTGCTACTATTGCTTTTGGGATGGGGATTGACAAACCTGATGTTGTAAGTCCAGATTAACTCTGCAGTGTCTCTGTTTGTGTAAATTGCTAGAGTAATCCATCTGAAATTTGCTTAACTGACATTGTCGTGGACATCGTATCTTTTGTCCACTACATGGACTATAGTTTTTTTTCCTCATAATTGCTTCATTAATGTGTAGCAAATTGTGACATGACTTGATTCTAATATTTTTTTCAGTCATTTTGCTAAAGATAACCATTATAATGGCTTCTATCTTTATCATTTCCTTTTTTGAAAATCTTATTTATGAACAGAGGTTAATTAAGATTCAATGGGAAAAAATTTCACATTATGAAATGAAAGAGAAGAAAACTAATTTATACCATTGCAAATAATGGAAGAGTAGCTGTTACAGTGGCAACTACTGTAGAATAGGCCATTATATATATCTTGCCTTTATTTTTGCATAATGCATATTTTAGCCTTGATTTGTTTTTTGGTTCTTTACTGGGTGCAATTTCAATCTTGTTTTTGGAATGAACAATTTTCACTTTAAGAGTTTCTTGAATGAAAACTAAAATCATGAATTAATTTCATATTTGCAGCGTTTTGTTGTCCATAATACCATGTCAAAATCAATTGAAAGCTATTATCAAGAATCTGGAAGGGCAGGAAGAGACAATCTTCCTGCAGTATGCATTGTTCTATACCAGAAGAAAGATTTTAGTCGAGTTGTATGTATGTTACGAAGCGGGCAAGGGTACAAAAGCCAAAGCTTTCAGACAGCCATGGCACAAGCTCGGAAAATGCAACAATACTGTGAACTTAAGGTAAGTCAATTCATGTTCCCGAAATTCAAATCATTAGATTCATTATGTAGTCCAGCACAGAAGTTCCAGTCCTTTTATTGCAGAAACTAACCATAGAAGTGCTTGTTGAATTTCTGTGACTCCACAGGGTGAATGTCGTAGACAGACCTTACTGGAACACTTCGGAGAGTCCTTTGACAGAAATGCTTGCAAATATGGTTCTAATTCTTGTGATAACTGCCTCAAATCTTCCTCATGAGAATGAAGGTATGATCACACTCTTTGGACATAGAGTACCCCAAACACCAATCTTCCTCAGGGGCTGTGCCTCAAACCCATTATTGTTTGGGGCAGCTCAGTTTTATTTACTCCATGGCTATTTGGAAATAGCAGTAGTCTGAAACCCGTTATTTTTTGGGCACGGCTCAATTTTATTTACTCCATTAACTTTTTTTGGAAATAACAGTAGCGAAGTTGTTATCTTCTTGACCCGTTGTGCTGGTAGTTTTAGTTGCCCGTTTAGGTGGACATAACTATTCTTTTTCCTCCGACTAAAATAGGCCTCAGCATAGAAATGCTTAAACTTCCGTTGTTTTAGTAGTTGCAGTAACATAACTTTATCTTTATGAAGATGACAATATATGTTTTTCTTTTTGGGCACAGGATCAAGAGATTGAATTGAACCACATCTAATTTGAATTTGAGCGCATTGAGTTGAGCTTTTACTAGGACTGAACTTGCTCTGAATGCAAAGTTTAATTATTAATTTGGATCACTTTTCATTGGTGCAAATCATTGGTCTTTGTTGTTGCACTTGCACCTGCCCAAACCAAGCAGTTTGTATGACTATTTATTGGGTTTTGAGTTGTAAACTAGTCATGTTTTGGAGTGCGAAATCCTAGTCAGTCAAAAAGCGAGCAATGTGTAGCTGATTGAAAAATATGATTTGTAAACCATTTCCAAATAATTGGGATGAGGATCTGAAGCAGTTCAGAGTCAGTTTTGATTCCATGGAGATGATGTAAACCTAGGTTATAAATTTCCCCTCTTTATACTCTTGCATCCTCATGAGGATTCATAATTAATCAAAATATTGGTTGAGTAATGGGTAGCCAATAAGATATCATTTGGGGCGTTTCTTCTACTTATATACTCAAAATAGCCCATGTAAACTTTCAATGCAAGACTGAATCATTACAATTAGGGTTGTGTTTTGCATATTTGCGCACTGTTAACTCTGCCCAACTTTTTGTCTCTTTTTATTTTTTTTAATTTATAATTTTTTCAACTCATTACCTTATGAAGCATTACACACATTGACATTAACCTTAATGGTGTGTTTGGTTGGAGGATTTGGGAAGGGAATTGGAAAGGAAAAGGGAAAAGGTGTGTGAAACTATGTGAAATATATACATATTTTATTCACATTTCACTTACCTTTTCCATTTCCCTTTCCAAATCCCTCCCCAAATCTCCCAACCAAACACAGCATAAGGGTATGTTTGGATAAAAATTTGAGGAGAAATTTTTGGAGAGAAAGGTCATAGAAAGGGAAAAGTGAATGAGATACAAGCTAAATTTTGTTCACTATTCTCTTCTTTTTTTTATTTCTCCTTTCAAATCGGTTTTCAAATTTTTATTCTAAACACAATCTAAGCAGGTCTATCTTCACCATGCCAACCATGTGTTTCACACAATTGGTTTCCAGTCAATGACATTGACTTTTTTGATAAACTTAGATCTAAGATAATAAAGTCATAGAAGAGTTTAGAAAATTTTTACATAGGCACATGCAAGTAGTACCAGCATTAGAGGAAGATAAACACTTCTTTCTGCCAATCATGATTGACAATCCAATAATTTAGTCATGTCAATAGTTTGGTTATACAGTATCTTGAGCTTCATGATGAATTCTCTAGGGTTCCGTTTGTTTTCAGAGATAGAATGGAGGGGATTAATAGTGAGGGGATTGATAGTGAGGAATTGTTAAATTATTTTTATATAAAATAATAAAACAAATAAAAAAATATAAAAAATTAAACATTAATATTTAAAAAAAATTCTCAATATATAAAAAATAAAAAAAATAATTTTTTTTTTAATCCCGTCACTATTTTTCTACTACCATCTCTATCTTCTCCTTACTAATCCTCCTTTTAAGTGGACTACTAATACCAAGGGATTAATAGTCCCTTCCACATCTCTCAAAACAAACATCCCATTAATAATACCAAGGGATTAGCAATTCCAATTCCTTCCCTATAACCCCAAACAAATAGGACTAGGAGTTGTGATTGAAGGCATGGATTTTAATTCACAAACTGAATTCAAATCCAACCTTTCTTATGTTAGTTCAATTTTCAGTTGAAACCTATAAACAACATATTTTCAACTCGAGGTATTCATTCCAACTATTTGTGAAACTCAAGTCTGTTTGATTGTGATTTTGTTTTCATTTGTGTTTTGTATTTTTGGAAACAAAAATAATGTAAAGTTTGAAAACACCAATCATTTTCATTTGTGTGAACAGTTTTCCAAAATTTAAAAACAATTCTTTGGTATTTCTTCAAAGGTAGAGGTGAGTTGCTTTTAGAAAAATTCCCAAAAATAATTTACAAGAAAACCACTCATTAAGGGGTGGTTTGGAAAGTGGGTTGACTTTTTGGTTATTTTAGTCTGGGACTAAAAAGTTTGGTTTGGGAAGGGTTTTTGACTTTTTGGCTTTTTTGTGAAAAAAAAAATATAATGATTATGGATTAAATGTGATGTTTTGTTTTATTAGGTTAAAAAAATTTATTTTTTTTTTGTGGCTATTTTAGCCAAAAAAAAAACCTCTAGCCCAACTTGCCAAACCATGCCTAATAATGTTTGAGAAAATCTTCCAAAATTTTATTTCAAAATGGTTTTGAAAAAAAAAAGAAGAAAAAAAAAGAACTAGTTGAGAAGGTAGGTTTATAAAAATCTTCTAAAGAAAACTAAAGTGCAAGTAGATTGATCTTTATAAATATAAAAGCTGATTTATGTGTTTCTATTTACATCACAAAGTTATCTTATTACAACATCTATTTCTTATTTGTTATTACAATTGTCCCTATCTAAAAGTATCACTAAAACCTTAAACCTTAACATTTTAAAACCCCAATTTCTCAATCTCCTCAACCACTTTTACCTTAAACTTTACAAGTGTCGGTGCTTCCTTTACTAGCTGTCACCCTCTACTCCTCTCATTGATGTCGTCGTCAATCTCTTGCCACCCACCCTAGTCCTCTTCTGCTTACTACTTGTTAACCCCTTGCCATTCCCTTGCTAGTGATGCCTAACCCCTCCCCTTTCCCGCCCACCACTTGTTATTCCCTTGCCATCCACGCGAAATCCCCTCACCACCCTAACGCCTCTCCCCTTTTCCGCCCACCACTTGTTATTCCCTTGTCACCCACGCGAAATCCCCTCACCACCCGTGAAAGAGAATTTAAGATGAAGAGATGGGTGTGGAAAAAAGATTGAAATTATAAAAAGAAAAAATATTTTTAAATTTTTTTTGAATGGAATGAGAGGGGGTGTAATATGTCCAAGCTCCCATGATTTATTAGAATCATGGAGGGAGGGAGTAAATGTAGTGAAGAAGATTAATGAGATTTGAAAGATGATAATGTGATGGGGTCCCCCAAGTGAATTCAATTGTCTCATGAAAAGTGACAAGCCCATATGCACAAGATTTTGAAAATTTCTACATCAGACAAATCCTCCTGAGGCCCTACCACTGATGTAATCTTGATACTTGTCTTGACACTGATAAAATAATGTAGGCCTCTATCTCTCTCTCACCAAGCAACATGATCCAACTTATATTTTAGTTTTTTTTTTATTATTATGAATTTTGTTATATATTTAAATAAATTTTAATAGTCTTTTGGTGAGTGCTATTAAATGTAAAAATTTAAAACAAAATTTGATACCTAATCTTTTGATTAAATTTTTTTAATATATATAAAAAGTTCCATATTTAGGTTCACTTTGAATCTCAGAAAAGTTTCTTCCTTGTGCCACATGGTTCAGGGTGTGGATTTTAGTGGGAAGGACCTGAAAAGGGAGGATCTGGAAACGTAGTAAAGACGACCTTTTCTTTGCACTAACTCTGTTTTTTCTTTTTAATTTTATAACCTTTTTTTTCTTTTTCTTTTTTTTACTTTGTTGAGTCTATAATATTCCATAGCATTTGGTTGTGGAGATGGCCTTTAATTCAAAGGAAAGGGTTATTTCCCGATGACAATGTTGGTTTATCATGAAACTTAAGTTAATGATTTGAATTGTTCATATTGTAGAATTTGTTGAAAAGATTATCATTAAAAAACATTAGATTGATCGAACAAATGTAGACGTATTATTAGATTATATTTGTCTTCAAAATAATGAATGGTTTATTTTTAAAATTAGATTTGTCGTCTGTTTTTTGTAATAATAAATTTAATTTGATAATGTGATTATAATTGTCAGAACAATATGATTTTTTGTGAGGATAATCTTCTTAAAGAATTTTACAACATGAATGGTTCGGAATATTGAGATGGGGCTCCGTGGTTGACCCACACAGGCTCAACAGCATATCTAGTTCACAATTTGAAGCTCCCATCTATATCATAGTAATAATATTATAGGGATTAAATTTGAATTTTTTAAGTTTTTTTTAATGTTAATGTTAAAAAATGATACCCACATTGTCTGTATGGATTTTATTAGTTTTAATACAAAATTTAAAATGCATCAACCCGTTTTTAATTTCTTTTTAAATTTTGATATCTTTGTTTGACATTGGCGAAAGAAATAGAAAAAGAAAATTGATTGAGGTTGTGATGGGTTATAACAAATTGTAATTTAAAATGTTTTAATAAAAATATACACAATATTAACATAAAAATACATAGTTTCATTTTTAAATAATAAATTGTTAAATCTCGACTAAAAAATTATGTAAGATATATAAAAATAGATTACATATATATAAAAAAAATATAAAAATGTGGATAAATTACATACCCTCCAATCACTCATCCATGTTATCATGAAATCCATGTTTGACCTTTGAGTGCGAAAGTACCTCAGCAGGCCTCAATCATTGGCCACAATTGTGCTTGTATTACTACCTTCATTTTTGTTTTTGTTTCGTTTTGTTTTTTTGTTTTTTTTTTTCGATAGCGTTAGTAGGTTAGTATAGTTAGAGTACAACTGAAGAGTCGCCGTTGCTCTATCAACTCGAACCATTGGCATTTCACTCACTACATCGTAAGATGTAGCTATTCGACCAGTAGGCCACATCCCAATGTCTCCTTCGTGGCTATTCAAAAAAGAGTAATAAGAGTAGAAATTTGGCCAAATGTCCATTTGCATAGTTTTTTTTTTTTATGGTAAAGAATAATTGAAATGTTGAATTTATAAAATCCTTTAAAATAAAATTACAACTTCAAATCAATTCTTCAACTATCTCTTATATTGATTTGTATTGATTTAGAGGAAGAAATAAAGATGTAAAGATGATGCAAATCTCTAATGTGATTCTTATCTCTGAACATCAGTATTATTGATGTGGTCTTCATTCCTTGTCATTGTCCCCGTTGATTTTCTTGTTTGATCTTTGGACACCACACCAAATCATATAGTCTCCATAATCCATGTCACGTATGATGGTACAGTAAAATTTTACTGTGCAATTTTTTTATTTAATCAATGAAATTTAACTTTTGAAAATTATTTCAAATGCGTATTAGATATATATTTAAAAACATCTAAAATTATTTTATTAATTTTGGAGTAAGTTGATTTAAAAAAAAAAAAATCAATTTTGGTCTTTTTATATTTGAATTGCATCAATTTGATAAGAAAAATCAAAAGTATTGAGTTCATTGTGGTGGTTAGTGATGGTGAGGTAGTGGATTGTGTCAAATGCTAGTAGAAATATTTTATATTTGAACAGTGAAATTTCATTATATGAAGAATTTTATATTTTTATCTAATCAATGGAATTCTTATTAGATTTATATTTAGGAACTTCCAAAATAATTTTATAATTTTTGGAATAAGTTGAGTTTTTTTAATCAAATTTGAGTCCAGTTTATTTAATTTTTACATTTA